CCTAATTTTTTTTTATTAAACAAGAATTTTAAAAATTCAGAAAATATATTAATCAATTTTACTATGAGTTTATTTAAAATATTGAACTAACTGCAATTACGTATATAAGTTTCTCTACTATCTCCTTTCAGATGTTCTATTTGATTTATGCTAGTCAGCATCTCATCATGTGTTCGAATTGGTAATCGTATAGGATCAATATTTTGTTGTAATGGATAATATACATGTCTATTCATTTCATTTAAAGTTCCTCGAAGATTACAGAATCTGCAACCTGAATATAAATTATATCCCATTAAATATAAAATTTTTGAAAGAGCAGGAAGATCTCCAGTCCAAGCTAATATGTGAACACGTAAAGTAAAATATTCTTTTTTGTTTCCATCATAACATAATATTCCATCTGTAAATACAAAAATATGATTAATAAATATTATATTAATTATTATTTTTCATATTTTTTAATATACCTTGTAACATTTTCATCTCTTGAATTAATGGATAGAGAAATGAATTAAAATCTTGAGGTTGTTTTGGCCTTGGGATTATTAATGTTACCATTAAATTTTCTTTTTTTACCCTTAATTCTTGAGGCAAATTATTATTTATAAAAAGAAATACCCAACAGTCATCAGTTTTTTGTCGAAATATTTGATAACCGTCACAAGATGCAGTAAATGCAACATCTCTAGGATTTGGAAAATATGCATCATTTAATAACTCTTTATAAATCAGCCCATCAAAAATATCACCTATGTCCCTATGAACAAGATCTCCTATATTATTAGTATAGTTATGCCTATATAATAATTCTTTGGATCTTTTAGAGTTTTTAAATTGAAGCTTTAAACGCTCAATTATAGAGATAAAAGGTAAATTTTTTCTTGATTTACCATTACTATAATATCTGTTCTCTTTACAAAATTTACACTTTCTTTCATTTTCTAAAACTCCTACGAACGCACAACATGAATTGACACACATATCGTATATTTTTGGTTCAATTCCTACTATCGAACCAAGTATTTTTTTTATTTTATTTAAGCTCATTTTATTTCTATTGAAAGCTTTATATATATTATTAAATGCAGCTTCAGAAAAATTAAAATTTGATTTCACATATAAAAGCCTTAATCCTTCAAGCAATTCATCAGAAATAATTGTATTATCTAAAAAATTTATCATTATTGTTAATAAATAGTTAATGTATTTAAATACTATTAATAATTTATTTTGGAATTCACCTTCTTCATTATCAGCATTAGAATTTATGTTATCAGATTCTGATTCATTTTGAGAATCAGAAATTGAATCATCATTTTCATAATAATAATAATGATCATTTTCATAATTATTAGTTTTCTCATTTTCTTCATTTTGGAAACTAAAATCATCATTAGTTTCTTCTGGAATTTCTTCATTATCACACATTTCCATATATGATCGTTCATTTTCTTCTTCATTATCACTTGTCACCATAAATGATCGTTCATTTTCTTCATACAAGTCTTCTTCACGTAAGTTTTCTTC